GGCCTAGACCAGGGACAAGGGAAGGGCAGAGACAGGGAAGCAGGCTGGGCAGTTGCAGATGAAGTAGCATCACCTGGAATCGCGAGACAAGGGCTCAAACGAGGCAGATGTGGTTCACAGTGAAAGGAGATCGATGAGCAATATGGAAACTAATTTTAAAGATCTGGAATTGTGACCAGTTTTATGAGGAAAATAACACACAGGGGTGAGAGAGGAAGTAACAAAAGGAAGGCTTCCTGAGGACGTGAGCCAATGTGAGGGCTGAGCCAAGACCAGTAACAGGTGGGAACTGGCCAGGGAAACATCCTGGGAGTCACCCACTGGGAAAGCATTCTCACCTCAAAGAGGGAGCCAGCTGACAGGCCCTGATGCAGGTGGCCTCTGTACAAGGCAGGAAGAGTCACCGTGGCTTAGGTGGGGAAGACAGAACAGCGATGACAGGCAGATGAGCTATCATGGATGTGAACTGGGAGGCTGCTACACGGCCTGGGTCAGAAGTTTGGTCCTCAGTGGCAGTGGCTGGGCTGGAGATGACAGGAACTGGGCTGCAAGCTTTGTCAGCAGGTGACAGGTTCTCTTGGGCACTCCTTGGGGGGATCAAAGTTAGAGACCGAGGTCTAGCTGTTACCTTGGGGTCTCTTCCAGAGGCCCACATGGCTTGGGGTTTCCTTGGCGGAACTTCCTGGGGGTTCATTGCTTTGATGACTGAGGTGCTTCTAAGAGAGGAGGAGCCTGCCATCCTGGTTAGCAGCTGTGTGTCTTGTGTTCTCCCCCCAGTCAGTGGAAGTCTGATGCAGACCCTGGCCCCCAAGCCTGGCCCCTGAAGGAACAGGCAGCCCTTCAAGAGGAGCTTAGTGATGTCCTCATCTACTTGGTGGCCTTAGCAGCCCGCTGCCATGTGGATCTGTGCCAAGCGGTGCTCTCCAAAATGGACACCAACCGGCAGCGCTACCCCGTCCATCTGTCCTGAGGTTCTGCTTGAAAGTATACAGACTTGCGCCAGGCCGCCACCTCTGAAGACCGGGCTGTGGGGCCTGCAGATCTGGCCAGTGAATCGATGGGCCAGGGCTCAACACCTGCAGCTCAGCATGGCAGCTGAAGAGCGGAGGGTGGCTCTGCTGTGGAACTTGTTCTAGTCCTTTCCTCTCGGGTCATGGCCCTGAGGGCCTCCAGAAGATAGTCTCTCCCCCAATAAAACAGTTACGGGCAGCAACTTCTGGATTCTTCCTGGGTGGCCAGGGAGGCATTACCACAACAGGTACTGCAAAGGGCTCCTCATACCTCTGTTGGACCTCCTACCTGCAGGGAGAGCCAGTTCCCAGCAAATTCCCGATGGGATCTCATCCAAGTCTCTTGCCCTTCTGGACCTGTGAGGGAGACTGGAGGCTGTCAAAGGGTCCAGACTGAGGCCCATGTTTATCACAGCAGGAGAGGGGTTGCCCAGCATGCATGAAGCTCTGGGTTCAATTCCTAGTACAAAAAAACGAAAAGAAACAACAAACTCCAGATTCTAGAGCCAGGCTGTCTGGGTTCAGATACTTATAAACTAGATGAGATATTCATCAAATTACTTCACCTTTCTTCATCTTCATTACTTTCCTCCACTAGTAAAATGAAAATAGTACCAGCTGGTGGAATGGTAAGGATTAAGTCATTAGTGTTCAGGGTGGTGCCTGACATGCAGTGAGTAACTGTTAAGGTTGTAGTTACTGTCTGCCTTTTCAGCTCAAAGGTTTTAGGGCCCAGAATAAGAAATCAGGGACAACAGGACTCGCTTTCCTCTTGGGCTTCTTGGTAAAAAAGAAAACAACCCATTCCCCTTGCCTAGGTCAATTTCTTTTTTTTTGGTACTGGGGATTGAACTCAGGACCTTGCGCTTGTGAGGCAGGCGGAGTGCCACTGAGCTACATCCCTGGCCCATAGGTCAATTTCTTGTCCTCTCTCTGGCTAAAGATAATGTTGAGCCTTCCTGTACTGTCTGTCTCCCGTCATGTGACCGTGTGACCATCACTTCCCTCTGGGCTGTCTCTGGCCTGCCTGGCCTCCAGTGAGTGAATCTGGGGAGAGAACCTTTAAGAGTGGCAGCACTCACCAGCAGGCCCAGCACTGTGGGAGGGTGGGGAGGGAATGGCAAGTTGGAGCCCAGCCTGGGCAGCTTAGCAGCTTGGTGAGAACCTGTCTCAAAATTAAAATGAGTACCTGGGAATTTAGCTCAGTGGTTCTGCTGCCTGCCTCGAAAGCTCAAGGTCCTGAGTTCGATCCCTGGTACCAAATAAATAAATAAAATGAGTAAAAGAGGTGGGGATGTAGTTTAGTGTGCTAGCTCTGTGTTCAGACCCCATACCAAAGAAAAAAAGAAAACTTTACTTTTAGGGCCTGGAGTGTGCTCAGTGGTAAAACACCTGCCTAGCATGTGCAGAGCCCTGTGGTTGATCCCAGCTCTGCAAAAATCAAAAACAACTTCCAGCATTCAGTGGTCACTGATTTGCTGCCTCTTGGTCTATTTCCACATCAGTAAAATAAGACGGGGGGCCGGGGATTTAGCTCAGTGGTGCCGCCACCTGCCTTGAAAGTAAAATAAGACACTTCCCTTTACTGGCCTTTTTAAGGTTTGTTTTGAGACAGGGTCTCACTGTATTGCCCAGGCTGGTCTTGAACTCAGTGATCTTCTTGCCTCAGCCTCCTTAGTCCTGGGATTACAGGTGTCTGCCACCTTGCCCAGCCAAAATTACTTTTATTTTGAGACAGTTATCCAGCTAAGTTTGAGCTAAATTATCCAGGCTGAGCTCAAATTTGTGATCATCCTGCCTACGGGCATGTGCCACCAAGCCTGACTGGCCTCTCTGCCTTCTTTTTTTTTTAGGTAAGGTCTCTCTCTTTGTAGTTCAGGCTGGCCCTGAACTCACTAGCTTAGGCTGGCCTGGAACTCACAGCGATCCTCCTGCCTCAGCCTCCCAAGTGCTGGGATTACAGGTGTGTACCACATGTCCCTGGCTCTGAGTAGTTTTTTTGTTTGTTTTGGGATTTTTTTGGTACCAGGGATCAAATTGGACCTTGCAGTTTGCTAAATCCCTGGCCCTTCTTGTCCCTTTCTAATGATATTTCTATCTGTAATTTTATTCCTTCTGTCACATCAGTTATCTTTTTTTTTTTTTTTTTGGTACTGGGGATCGAACTCGGGTCCTTTCGCTTTCGAGGCAGGCAGCGGAACCACTGAGCTAAACCCCCGGTCCATCAGTTATCTTCTTTCCCTCCTATATAATTTTTTTAAAATTTTGAGACAGGGTCTCACTGTGTGTGTGGTCAGGCTGGTCTTAATCGTAATATGTAGCCCAGACTGGCCTCAAAGTCTCGATGATCCTCCTTCCTCAGCTGCCTGGGTGCTGGGATCACAGGCAGCCAAGCTTTTTATTGAATGACAAGATCTTGATATTTTGCCTGGGCTGGCCTTGAATTTTTGGGCTCATGCTATCCTCCTTCCTCAATCTCCTGAGCAGCTGGGGCCACAGCTCACCACTGTGCCCAGCTAATTTCTCTCTTACTAGCCCTACCCAACAGTGCCTAAAGCACATTTCAGTCTTTTCTGTGTTAACAAAAGAAAACCAACCTCCAGCACTTCCCTGGCTTCTCACAGCAGAGCCTCCAGGAAGGGCTGTCTGCACTCACCCCTCAGCTTCCGCTCTCCATGTGTGCCCCACTCTGTCCTTGGATGTTAAGTCCTTGACCCCAAATCTGTGGCTGACACCAGGGAAGTACCTGCAGCTGAGCTCTCCCTCTTGGAAAACTGCCTGGATTTCCCAGATGAGACTTCTAGTCTTCAGAGTCCTCTTGGGTACCTTCTGGACATGGTGTCAGACTCCTGAGCCAGTGTCTGGTATTTCCAACCTCCTCCCTGCACCCCCAGCCCAGCTCCTGTCCCCATCCTGACCCCCTGTGCAGTGTTGATGCCCCGAAGTCACCCAAGCTGAGTGAGCTTGGTCCCACTTGCCCTTTCCCTCACCCCCAGGCACCTTCTGACTCCTGTAATTCTAGCTCCTTCCCCTCTGATCCCCCCAGGGTTCCTGCTGCCTCAGATCCTTTCACCTGGGTTCCAGGGTCCCTTGTGGCCTTTGGCCAAAGCTCCTGTCCCCACACTGCGTCCCAGGGACTGTCTAATGAGACTGGCATGAAGTTTTAGGGGTTCTGTCCTTAATTCCTCAATTCCAACTTTGTCTTGACCTTGAAGACCCCGCCTAAAAATGACACCGAGGCGAGTTCAAGGCCAGACTGAGCAGTTAGGGAGACCCTGTCTCAGAGTAAAACAAGGGCTAAGGTTGTAAACTCAGTGGTAGAGCACTTGTGTAGCATGCAAGAGGTCTGGATTTAATCCCCAGTACTCCCAACAAACAAAACAACCCCTTCTCTGACAAAAGCATCTCTAAACTCTTAAGACTGTACTTGGAGATTCTTCCTGTCCGACTTCCATCGTAATTTCAGTTGACACTGGATTGCAACTGCCTGTTTACTTGTCCCTTCCCCGATGTTCACTGGTCGGGTTTGTATTTTTGGTCTACAGAAGCAGAGATACGGGACAGCTGCAGTGAAGCATGCCTGCCATCCCAGCTACTCGGGAGGCTGAAGCAGGAGGGTGGAAAGCTCCAGCCTGGCCTGGGTAACTTAGACCCTGCCTCAAAATAAAAATATTTATGGGCTGGAGATGGGGCTTAGTGCCCCTGGTTCAATCCCTAGTGCTACAAAAAAAACTAAATGAGGTAAAATACAGCATTTACATAATGAAGCACTTAAATCTTTAGCACAGTGCTGGTTTCTCTGCTTCACTGTACTGACGCCCCTAGGGCCACTCCTTGCTCACTCATGCTCTGCCGAGTGTGGGGCTGTTTGGTCTTGAAGCCGCTGAGGCTACCAGGACGTAACCCACGGTCCCGGGTGGGGACGCCTGCGCTGCCTGGAGAACACCCCAACCTCCCTCTCTCCCCACCCACCCCACTCACAGGCACGAGTGGGGAGAGGGTAGTACTTTATTCACTAACACAGGCCAAAGTGGGGTAGCGAGGGGGTGGGCACGGTTTCCAGGGACCCCAGGAGGCCACTTTCGGTCCCCGGCCCACCGGTTCCCAGCCCAGGTGGAGGGGGGGGCGGGAGAGGAGCCATCCGGTTGTCGCAACCAGGCTGACCCCGATGCGCCCCTCTCCGGCCTCCCCGTCCCGCCGCGGCTCAGCTGCCTTCGCACTCTGGGCAGCGCTCGGTGGCCGTGGCACCCGCGGGCAGCTTGAAGTCCCGGCCGCAGCCGGCGCAGATGTAGAGGCGGCGCCGCAGGTGCGCGCGGCGGTGGCGGATGAAGTGCGAGCTGAGGCGGAAGCAGCGGCCACACTCCGGACAGGGGTAGGGTCGCTCGCCTGTGTGCGTGCGCGCGTGCTCCGCCAGGTTGGAGCGGTGGCCGAAGCGCCGGCCGCACACCGCGCAGCGGTGCGGCTTCTCGCCGGTGTGCACGCGTCGGTGCTTGGCCAGCGCTGAGCTCTGCGCGAAGCGCGTGCCACAGTCGGCGCACGCGTACGGCCGCTCGCCCGTGTGCGTGCGTCGGTGGCGCGCCAGGCACGAGCTTCCGCCGAAAGCGCGGCCGCAGTCCGGGCACGCGTACGGCTTCTCGCCCGTGTGCACGCGCAGGTGCTGCGCGTAGTTGGAGCTTTGCGCGAAGCGCCGGCCACAGTGCGCGCACGCGTACGGCTTCTCGCCCGTGTGACGCCGTCGGTGCTGCCGGAGGTTCGAGGCGGCGGAGAAGCGTTTGTCGCACTCGGGGCACTCATAGGGCCGCTCGCCCGTGTGCGTGCGGCCGTGCTTGGTCAGCGCCGACTTCTGCGAGAAGCGCCGGCCGCACTCCGTGCACGCGAAGGGCCGCTCGCCCGTGTGCGTGCGCGCGTGCTTGGACAGCGTGGAGCGGCGCGCGAAGGCGCGGCCGCAGTCGGGGCACGCGTGGGGGCGCGCGGGGTCGGCCGACGGCGCCGGCGCCGGCGTCTCGCCCGGGACCTGCAGGGAGAAGGGCGACATGTCAGCCCTGCCCAAGGGGCCGGGACCCGGTCCGGTGCGCGCAGCCTGAGCCTCAGTTTCTCGTCCGTGAAATGGGAAGAGCCACGTGGCTGCTCGCGGATGATGGTGCCCTTTACGCGGGGTAGAACTGAGACACAAACCTAGATGTCTGCTGGTGGCTCGTTATTCAAATGCGAATGTGCTAGACTGGTCTAGGCGCTGGAGGTTCAGCATTAAATATAGTGCGGTTTAAAAATTCTGTCTTAAGGGCAAAGGGCCAAGGCTGGGATGGAGGAATGCGGCAACGCAAGCAAACCGGCTGCCGACCTCAGAGGGGGACCAGGATGAGGGGGACCAGGAGGGCAGAAAGCGCTTCGGCTTAACTAAAGGAGAGGGGCCGCTGGGTTGAATAAGGGGTTCGCACAGGAAAGGGACTCGGTGCCACGTATTTAAAAGGCTTCCTCAGACAGCTGGGGTCCCATGAAAGGGGGGGGGGGGGCAGAAGCAGGAGCTCAGTGAGGATGCTTCCGTGGTCGTCTGGCAAGAGAAAGCCGTGGCTTAGCCTCAGAAAACAGAAAAAGAAAGTGGAGGTGGGGAGAAGTGGCCTGTTTCTGGACACGCGCATTTTACAGCCCCAGGCCACAGACTTAACCCCACATCAAGGATGGAAGAAAAGACGATAAAATGACTGAGGTTTCAGACTCAGAACTGCAAAGCTGGAGTGCCCTTGCCAGAGAGGAGCATGTTGGAGAGGAGAGTCTGTTTGCGGCCAGATCCCCGCTTGACACATCTGGAGCTCCGGACGCGTCACACTTCAGGTGGTATTTCAAGCCTTGCGACTGAGAGATGCCCAGAGGGGCAGAGAACCCGGACCTCAAGACCAGGAGCAGCCAGTGGGAGAAGAGAGCCAGCAGGGTGACCTGGGCAGCTGGGCCAAGACCAGGTCCAGGCTCTTTAAAAACCTGTTCAGAGCCAGGTGGGGTTGTACACGCCTGTGATTCCGGCACTCAGGAGGCTGAGGCAGGAGGATCACAAGTTCAAGGTTAGCCTGGGCAATTTAGTGAGAGTCTGTCTCAGAATAAAACTTAAAAGGGTTAAGGATGTAGCTCAGTGGTAGAGCACTTGCCTAGAATCCTTGAGGCCCTAGTTCCAATCCCCATTAACAAGGGGAAAAAGGGCCGGGGATTTGGCTCAGTGGTTCCGCTGCCTGCCTCACAAGCGCAAGGTCCCAAGTTCAATCCCCAGTACCAAAAACAAAACAAAAACAAGGGGAAAAAATAATTCACAATCAAAGGAAATGCCTGGCACATACTAAGGACAAGACAATGTTAACTTTTTCCACATTCAATCTATCATTATCTTCATTTTGGGGGGGGGGTACCAGGGATTGAACTCGAGACCTGGCACTTTGGAGGCAGGCACCTGAACCACTTGAGCTAAATCCTCAGCCCCATTATCCTCATTTTTTAAAAATGAGAAAACAGTTTAAGAGAGGGCAAATGACATCTGGAGAGGAGTCCAGACTTCTTCCTGAAGCTGCAGGAGGCAATTCAAGACCTTTAAAATCCTTTGTCAAAGCCAAGTGTGGTGGTGCACACTGGTAATCCCAGCACTTGGGGAGACTGAGGCAGGAGGATCTTGGTAGAGTTCAAAGCCAGCCTGTAGGCCGGGGATTTAGCTCAGTGGTACTGTGCCTGCCTTCAAAGCACAAGGTCCAGGGTTCAATCCCCAGTACCAAAAAGAAAACAAAACAAAAAAAAATCCTTTGTCAAGAGTGTGACTTTGAACTCAAAATGGAAAACCGGACAGTTTGGAAAATTAGAAACCAGCCAAGGGAACTCTGCTTTAAATAAATAAATATAGGGCTGGGGATTTAGCTCGGTTCCAGTGCCTGCCTTGCAAGTGCAAGGTCCCAAGTTCGATCCCCGGTACCAAAAAAAAAAAAAAAAAAAAAAGGCAGTGTGTCTAAATTATATATATATATATAATATGTAGCTAAACATGGTGGTGCACACTTGTAATCCCAGCACTCAGGAGGCTGAGGCAGGATTGCTGCAGATTCAAGGCCAGCCTGAACTGTATAGTGATACCCTGTCTCAAAAAAAGAAAAAGAAAAAGAGATAAGCTGGATTCCAAGACCCTGGTTTTCATTTCTTCTTTTTTTTTTTTTCACTCTTTGAGACAAGGTCTCATTACGTAGTTCAGGCTGGCCCTGGACTCACTATGGACCCCAGGCTGGCCTCAAACTCAAGATGATTCTCCTGTCTCAGCCCAAGTGCTAGGATTACAGGCACACACCACCATACCCAGCAGGTCCCTGGTTTTCTCCAAGAGGATTCAAGGTTAAAATTTTTTTTTTGGTACTGGGGATCTAACTCAGGACCTAGTGCTTGCCAGGCAGGTCTGGTGCCACTGAGCCATATCCCAGGCCCACAAGGTTAAAATATAACTTGATACATTTAAGTCAAGAAACTCCCCACAGCAGGTCTGACAGTCTGAATTCAAGGACACACTTTCCAGTCTTCCCCTGGACACTTCTTGGGTTTATTTCCACATATTGGCCATTGTGGAGAGAACATTTCTCTTTACATCTGCATTTTTCTCGCCTTTCATTTTCCTTGACACCCTTCATTATGGGGACTTTGAAGCCAGGTATAGTGAGGCACACCTATAGTTCTAGCACTTAGGAGGCTGAGGCAGGAATATTCCCAGTTCAAGGCCAGTCCAGACTATATAGTGAATTTGTGGTCAGTCTGGGCTACAGAGTGAGACCTTGTCCCCAACAAAACAAAACACAAACAAAGATGCCTCTGGCCAGAGTGAGGAGTTCCTCATGCTAGCTTCACTGCTTTATGAAACAGGAATTGTTCACATGAGCATTCTCATTGTCTCCAGCCCAAGAAGAGGAGGGGTGGATTCCCAAAGAAGAAGCTTGGTGAGGGGCTGTGTCCACCTCACTGACACCCTGGACAAGTCACCCCTTCCCTACCTCAGTGTGCCAAACAAGGCCAAGTAGATCGGGTGAGATCAAAGTTTCCCAGCTTGGGGTGTGCACACCACGGGGGTGGGCACGTCGTCTCGTGTGTTCATTTTATGGACATAGAAAAACAATGGATCACATGCAACCCACCATTTCATCAATATTATTATTCAGATGGGTAAATTTATTTAACAAAACACTGTGAATTTAAGAAAAGCGTTAGTAAATAAGGTGCGTATGATATATGAGTGATAGACCCGTAACCAGAACTTGGCAAATACCAGACTGGGCAGTCACTAAAGGCTCTTTTTTTTCCTCTTGCTTTCTTTTTTTCTGCAGAACTGGAGATTAAACTCAGGGCCCAGCCACTGAGCAATAGCTCCAGTCTCTTGAGATAGGGTCTCAGTCACTAAGGTGCCCAGCCTGGGCTTGAATTCATGATCCTCTTTTCTCAGCCTCCTGGAGCACTAGAATTACAGCCATACTTTTGTACTCCACTTTTTGGGGGTGGGGGGTGGTGGGGGGTACCGGGGATTGAAGTCAGGACTCAGCGCTTGTGAGGCAGGCGGCAGAACCACTGAGCTAAATCCCTGGCCCTGTACTCAACTTTGAAACTCGTCAAATTTGCTACTTGACACATTTTGATGAGAAAATTTTGTCCAGGTACTTGTCATTTGTGACAGAGCAAACTACAGCTTGTCCGTGTCAGTTGCCTTGTGACTTGTTACCCTTTGCAGCCAAAACAATTTGTTTAGTACTCATCACTTTTGGCATGCACAGTCGTGGCAAGCCTATGGCACAGCTGTTTGTTATCAATGAAGGCTCTAAGGACTGGGAATTTAGCTCAGTGGTTCTGGTGCCTGCCTCGCAAGCCCAAGGACCTGAGTTCGATCTCCGGTACCAAAAAAAAAAAAAAAAAGAAAGAAATCAATGAAGGCTCTAAAAGGTTCGCCATCACGGTCCCTAATTAATGACAGATACCAAGGTACCACTCCACAAGCAAGTGCCACCACACCCAGCTCATTAAAGGCTCATGAATCTTAAACTCTACAACTACTAAATTTAACAATTAGAAGGGCTGGGGATTTAGTTCAGTGGTTCCACTGGCTGCCTCACAATCCCAAGGACCAGAGTTCGATCCCCAGTACCGAAAAAAAAATTAAAAATTAGAATAATATTTTCACTGTAGTAAGCAGGTACTATGGACTAATATAATAATCCATGCATTTGAAAGTAATGATCTTTTTTTGTTTCATTTTTGAGACAGGGTCTCACTATGTAGTTCAGGCTGGCCTCGAACTCCTCATAATCCTCCTGCCTGAGCCTCTCCTAGTGCCGGGATTACAGATATGTGCCACTGTATCTGGCTGAAATTAATGATTTTTTTATCTTCTGGTGTCCTCTCTCTCTCTTTCCATATATCTATTGTTGGGGGGGGGGGTGTGCTGGGAATTAAACCTGGGTCCCATGCCTGCTAAGCAAGGGCTCTACCATTGAGCTACACTCCTAGCCCCTTACATTTTTGTCTTTTTTTTTTTCCAGCCCCTTAATTTTTTTTTTTTT